GGTAGACTTGCACAAGTCTCTTAGGCAAAAATTATTAGTATAAATCATGATTTCTAGATAAAATAAATAAAAAGAACAAGTTGTCCCTAAACTGGCGTCCTTGTACTGTCGCTTATCTAGACTTGCCTATTATAAGGATAGAATTACTATACACCTCTTATCTTTCAGTACAGACTTAGAGCAAGGCTAGTGTGTAAGCTGGTTGGGGGAGAACAATAGCAGACAGCAGGGTCGTATCAAGTTTTATTAGCTTCACACTTTCCATATAGAAATATCATATTATGTATCATAATATTTCATTGACAATACTTTTTAATAATGCCAGTATTGTGTTCTTCATGTTCATAAAATTCATGTAATTAAAAAACAAATCATCTCATACAAAACGTACAGCATTGATATAGGTGAGATACCACATTGGCATTCTCCACTGTCATTTTGGTGCTGTCTCAGAGGTTGTGTTTCTCACGGTGAAGGCGGGGGCTTTAATTCTCGACACAAGCGTCATCCTGACAATATCTGGTACATGATGATTTTAATCATTTAGTGTGACTTAGTTTTTTCTGCAGGATGTTGATGAATTTGAACAGGTTTGGACGAGATTGTCCACTCCTGTTCGTCTTTGCATGCCAGGGCTTCATCCAGGCTTCTAAGCCATGTGGCCCTTGCAGGCAAATTGGGACAAAAATTGTTATTTTGTTCAAAATTGGGATTGTGAGATTGTCCACTCCTATTCGTCTTTGCATGCCAAGGATTTATCCAGGCTTCTAAGCTAAGTGGCCCTTGCAGGCAAATTGGGACAAAAATTGTTATTTTGTTCAAAATTGTGATTGGTTTTGAATTCTTATTTTCTTGAATTCAGAGGTATTATATTGTATTTTGGGATTGTATTTAATGCAATAATATTAAACTAAGCATTAAAACCTCTTCCTATTTATTGGTCCTCTGAATATAAGCTACAAAGCTGTAAAATGTTATTAGTTTTACATATGAACGTGATTAACATGAATTGGGAAATATATATTACCGCTTTGGGAATTTTTAATTAATGTTTTTGCAGACTTGGGGCAGGTTTAGATAAATCTTATGGGTCATTGTTCTGGTACTTAAATTTCGGTGAACTGCTATAACTCACATGCTAGTTATATCCCCGACCTTTTAGGCCGGGGGTATGTAGTTATACCAAGGTTCCGTCCATCCGTCTGTCCGTCCGTCGGTCCGAAAACTTTGTCCACGCGATTTCTCTTAAACTATTCAGTGGATTCATCTCAAACTTAGTACATATAATCTGTGTCATATGGAGTGGTGCAGTCAAAAGAAAAAAATTGTTTTTATTTCAGATTGTAGTATTACTTGGTGTTTTTCTTTTTCATATAACAGGAACAATTGAAGATAGTAACACATTCCTTTTCTCTTAAATCTTAATGACATGTGTAGAGGAACCTACTTTGGCATCAGTGTCTATTTGGCACTGTGGCATTGTCTCAAGTAACTGTAGGATTTGCATATGTGTATTTTCAGAAAAACAAACATTTCTTTCATTTTTTTCACTCAGAATTTATTTTAGATCAACATTTGTGCGACCTATAACTTGAAGACTACTTCATGGATACTTTTCCAAATGCGGGTACAGTTTCCATACCAATAGAAGATGTGCAGTGCAAATTTCATTTCGAAATGTGGATTTTCTGAGAAAATATTGCTTTTTTTTCATGTTTTGAACTAAGAGTTATGTTGGAATTGAAGGCGGGGGTATTAGTGAGCCCTGCTCACTTTTTGTCTTGTTTTAATAGATTTTCCTATGGCGAACACAATTCATGTGATGATGGATTCTCATTAACTAGTTGTGTTTACTCCTGTGAGCACTTTTAGCCTGAACCCTGTGCTTGTATATCACAGTAACTTTTAATCCCCTGCAGTGTGGTGGCAAGGAATCTTTCTCGCCATTATTACCAATCTCATTAAAATCAGATCTATGTTCATGCTTCCGCTATACAAAGATCTGAGAACATCCCATTACAGGTCACGTCAGTATGACCTTTCACAAACTTTGACCGACCTAAAATGACTAACAAGAAGTCGACATCAGCCAATTAGAAAGCAGCTTTTTCGAGCTTCACGGCACTTGTTTCAACCTGGCGACTTCCATTTCAGGCTACGCTTGAAAAATATGTTGACACATTTCGCGATTTAAATTTTGAAAACCGACCAAACAACATTCCGCAATATCTAATATATGGTTGAGATTGTATGGCAGTGCTTCCCACGTACTGTGCAACGCCTCTTCCGTTCAAATGTTTATCCCACGGAAGCGAGAGATCGACGATAATTTTGACGGAATCAGTCGTATGGGTGGGTGAGTTGGGTTTAACGCCGCTTTAAACAGTATTCAAGTTATATCACAGCGTGTCAGCTTAATGTGGGAGGAAAGCCTGAAGTGATGCAGGTCTCAGAACGTTTACCACTTCGGTGAAACCCATGAGCACAGGTATGGTGCTGACAAACCTAGACACATAATCGGGGTGAACCGGGATTCGAACCCACAATCATAGGTTTCTGGCGTGCCCAAGGGACGCAACTCTGCACAGCGAATCACAGCGCCTTAGACGACTGGGCCACCCTTGCCCCCGTGAAGCCAAGAGCAGCGATTTGATTGAATGTCGTGTTTTCACCACAAAGGACACAACTCGTGTTCTACATGGGGTGGCACCACATTCGGTCGTAGGGGCCATAACTGTCGTTCAGAATACCCCGTGTTAACATTTTCCAGGTTGCATGATTAGAAAACACATTCCGACTGTCACTTTCATGATCTGATAAGTGACGCTTTGAGTGGTCGGATGAAAGGTCATTCTGACGTGACCCGTAATGGGATGTCCTCAGATCTTTGTTAAGCGTCAGTGAGAACTTAGATCTGATTTTAATGAGATTGCATTGTCATTGGCTTTTCACAGTGTTTGCAGATTGTGGGATGGGATTTAAACTGTAAGATAGCACACTTTGTATATGGAATTGCTGTATGATTATAGGCATATAGACAATCGGTAATAATTTTGAATGTCCAGATCGACAGTTTAACCGATTATTTCGTTCAATCAATCTACCAACACTACTGACCATTAAGCCTATTAGTATTAAGGACAGGAAGACTTTATTCAAGGTTTGGAAGATGGCGAATGTCCATACTCCTTAGCAGGCAGAAATACACAGGAGGAGATGGTTCTTTGATGCTTATATCATGACGATCTGATTACGTGATCTGATTACATGATATCATAGATATTACCATAGATATTACCATTTACATACGACCCGTGAAGATCCGAGGTAGTATAGGTTTTCAGCAACCCATGCTTGATCTCAAAGGTGACTATGCTTGTCGTAAGAGGCGACTACCGGGATCGGGTGGTCAGGCTCGCTGACTTGGTTGATGCATGTTGTCGATCCCAATTGCGTGGATCGATGCTCATGATGTCAATCACTGGATTGATTGGTTCAGACTCGATTATGTACAGACCACCTTCATATAGCTGGAATATTGCTGAGTGCGGTGTTAAACAAAAAACAAACAAACAAACCATTAACATACAGGAATTTAACGAGGCCGATATTCGTTCCCAAATCTGCAGCAAATGTCATCCATTAAAATTTCTCAAATTTGAATGAAATATTTCCCAATATTAGATTGGTTCGATGCACAAACAAACATACTGGTATTTTGTTAGAACCTATACTCATCAACGCATCACATGTGACATCAAAGATCCATGACTCGAGATGCACTATTTGTCTCGTGCAGGATTAGCGTGTAAAGTTTGGAAATCATGTGCAGTATATCACGATAAGAATAAAGACACTCTGTGGTAACACTTGACTGATTGTTAGTTTTGTTATTAATTGGTACACATTGGAAACATCTCTTCTTATTGTACATACTCCTCTCTATGTTTTTTATGGATCACATATACCGATCAGCTGCACCAAAATGCTACGCTTAGGGTTATCATTATATTAAATATATTTAGTAAAAGCTGCAACTAAGATAACATGATATTGGAATATATTATTCCTGATAGAAAAATAGTTTTAGATTCAATTTTTCAAAATCCTTTGAAGTTATATCAATGGGTAAGTTTTAACTGAATCACCGGTAGATTCCAAGAAAACGTGTGTACAGCTGATTGCTGTTTCCGGCTTAGTTTATGAGAAAATACACAAGGTAATCTTTATCCCCGGATGTAAAACAATGCCTAGCTGAACAAAACATACAATTTAAAAGGTAAAGGAACATGTCTGGTGATTTTTTGTCTCAAATTTCAAATTTGTACTGACCAAGTTTCTTATCACCCGTTCGTTTACCGGAATTCACTGAAGGGGTACGGAGTAATTTCTTTCTGCACATAATATTCAAATCTTTTTTTTTCAAAACACTGAATCCGCTAGAGAGGGGTGTGCATTATACTTGGGAGCACACTATACTCAAGAAAGTATGGTAACTAATGACTAATTTCATGGCTTTACAGAGGTAATTTATAAACGACTGATATTAAAACAGGACCAGTAAAGTGGAACATGCTTTAACATGTTTAATGCTTAGTTTTGTATTGAGTGCAATCAAAGATTCCGGGCTAGAATAGGTCTTCAGCAACCCATGCTTGCCGTAAAAGGCGACTATGCTTGTCGTAAAAGGCGACTAAGGGGATCGGGTGGTCGGGCTCGCTGACTTGGTTGATGCATGTCATTGATCCCAATTGCGTGGATCGATGCTCATGATATTAATCACTGGATTGTCTGGTCCAGACTTGATTATTTACAGACCGCCATCATATAGCTGGAATATTGCTGAGTGCAGCGTTAAACAACAAACAAACAACAAAACAAACACAAAATAAAATGTAAAATATCTCTAAATTTTAGAATTCATTTTTAACAAAAGCTTTGCCTCCCAGGGGCCGGGTTTAGAATACGAGATAAAACCCCGACATACGTGTCTGTTTCAGCGAAAGACAATGGCGTGGGAGATGTTGATGTACCCACTGACGGCCACGGTAGCTGTGGTGTCCAGCCTAGTGGTGCTCTACTTCACAAGCCCCTCCCTGCTCATCCAGACTGCCATGAAGTAAGTATGCAAGGACGTTAGGGGTGAATCGATACATCTGTGCTCTGCTGCATCGCGAGTTTTCATGGGATGATACCATACATGATACTTTTTTTTCTGCATCGATACAAGATGATACACTTGCTGAAATAAATTACTCACTATTCGTTTAATGACCTGTGGCGTCTTTGTCAGTCAGATATTGCACGATGTGTTGTTTCAAGCTCACTACTGAAAATAGCCACAACGAAAATGTGTTTACAGCTAGCTTTTCCCTTTAAACCTGCTCTGAAGTTTTTGTCAAGAAGTTACCCATCTTCCTGAGGCAAGAGAGTTAACTGACTTAAAAAGTCCAGTTTCCACCCTTGCCGAACTAGGCTGGAATTCCTGGGCTCGATCGTAGCGCAACCAGTGGCTATTACCAGTTATGTCCCTTCTAAACCTCTCCTATGGACCAGATTCCACCTCTCGTATCACTTGCGTTTGCTTCACACAAAATGGTGGCGCCAAGTCAGGACGATCTGATGCATAATCAAGTTCTATATCATGATAAAACGGGTCTTACATCGCGAAATGCATCAAATCACGCGAGCACCTTGATTAAAACATAAAAAGATTTGGAAAATATCTGCTGACAACGAGTTGGGGGTGTACATGCTTTGCAAATCTTGCAATCGTCCGAAATCTGCACGACAGTTTACGAACCGGATTTCGATTTCGGTGCGCGATTTTGATTGGACTATGCATAGATTGTTAGTCCGGCCAAAATGTAACTTCATATTACCAGCCTAGTTCGGCAAGGATGGAAACTGGACTTGTATAGTCAGTTTACTCTCTTGCCTCGAGAAGATGGAAGTTTCCATGCGATTTGATGTAAATATGCATATCGCGATACTTACCGTATTGTGACCTATGTAACGTGATACGTATCGTATCGTGACCTTGCTGTATCGTGACCTTGCTGTATCGTTTCACCCCGAATAGAAATACTAACCTGACACCTTGAGTTGTCTGAAGTAAAATGGAACCTGAGGTCTAGTAGAGTTCCAGGCTTTTTATAAACTTTTAGGATGTGTAATACAGCTGTATGTTTATTAAACGGGTGATCTCTTCACAGGCAAGTAATAAAAGTAATAATGAAACTTGTTATACATTTATTATAGCTAAAATGGATAGAATTATGATTAAACCGCCCGCATGTTATCAGAAATGAGCGGGCCACTGTAACTTGATAATGCCCTTATATCGTTTGACAACGGGCCATTATCAAGCCCGTTGTTAGGTGACGTCATAGGGATAGGGACAGGTGATGTCGCGTTCAATAGTTACGTCATCTGGTTTGTTCTATGACATTTCCATATTCGTAAAAGTGGGTCAGTGAAATTCGTGTTGACTGCACTTAATGTTTCAAAACCGATTTTGTTGTTTATTATCCCCCCGGAAAATAATGCGGGGGTATATAGTGATCAGCCAGTCCGTCCGTCCGTCCGTCCGTCCGTCATCATTTCCTTTTCCGGGGCAGAAATCAAAAACAATTCAGTGTATTTGATCGAAACTTGGCATATCTATCAGTCACATACTGAAGTTGTGCCTTTTGCTATCAAGGAATTTTTGAAATTTTTATTTTTTACGTTTCCATGGCAACCAGTTAGACTTAGTTCTATAGGGTAGAGTTTGTTTCCGGAGCATAACTCAAAACCCATTCAAAACTTTCTAACAAAACATTGCATGTCTATCAGACTCATGCTGAACTGGTGCCTTTTGCTATCAAGGAATTTTTGAAATTTTTATTTTTTACGTTTCCATGGCAACCAGTTAGACTTAGTTCTATAGGGTAGAGTTTGTTTCCGGAGCATAACTCAAAACCCATTCAAAACTTTCTAACAAAACATTGCATGTCTATCAGACTCATGCTGAACTGGTGCCTTTTGCTATTTAGGAATTTTATAAATTTATATTTTTTACGTTTACATGGCAACAAGTTCTATAAGCAATGATAAGGGTGGTGTTCATTTCCAGAGAGTAACTCAAAAACTGTTAAATACTTTCTTACAAAACTTTGCATGTCTACCAGGCACATACTGAACTGGTGCCTTTTGCTATTAAGAATTTTATCAATTTTTATATTTTACGTTTCCATGGCAACAAGTGGATTTAAGTTTTCATATAGGGTGGGTTCACTTATGGAGTATAACAAATAAACTGTTAAATATTTCCTTGCCAAACATTGCATGTCTATATATAAAGTACATACTGAACTGGTGCCATTTGATATTAAGGAGTTTTAGAAATGTTTATTTCAGAATTTCCATTGCAGCTATTTTGACATGGGCTAACAGAAATGTTGGGTCAGTTACCTGGTTTGGGACCATAAGGTGTTAAAATGCGCTGGGGATATAGATGACTTCGTTGACTATACGCTTGTTTAGTTATTGTTTCTTGTAATTTGTCATTGGTTTGCATAAAAAACCCACAGAAACACACTTGTTTTACTTTCCATTTCATATGGATGCGACCATGGTGGATCTTTTGTGGGTAAACAATGTATGCTTCTTCAAGAACATTCAACTCTTGACTCATTACATACAGAATTGCACATTTACTTGTGGTTACTTTACAGACAGCTGCCGGGGGTATATGTCATCTTTCTGATGACTCTTGTTTTCATTTGAAAACAAATTCTATCCATTTTAGCTATAATAACGGTAATGCTATTTTTCAGGGCATTATCATTTGCAGAAGCCCTTGGGCTCATCAACTGCGCTCCTTCGTCGGGCAGTTAATGGAACACCTCGGGCTTCTACAAGTGATAATGCCTAGAAAGATATTATTCAATATAACAGAACACAGAAAAAATATTGCAATACATATTATTTGAAAAACATATTGCAGTATACCATACTGTACAGTCTTATTAACTAGTCATCAGAGGTTGACACAATTTATTGATTTGTGGTAAAGCATGCATGGAGAACTTGTGAGGACTTATTACCCATTGATGTTACCATGGTTACAAGCCATTGAGGATACCATCATTGGAGTTGCTTTTGTTCTCAGCAGTATTCACCAGCTGTAGTCTTGGGTTAGCCAATTAATGTATATTTCAAAGGCTGCCTTAAACCATTATGCACATTTGTAGAGGCTTAATGAGCTGGTGGTAATTTGTCATGTTTATATCTCATCCTCGTTTATCCAGGGTATTGTTTCTCCATTCTACATGAAAAACACCTTGGACTGATTCACTACCGTAGCTTCGTTTCCAGTCTGATTTGTATGTCACATAGCTACAAATAGCAGACCAATCAAATTACTCTCACGAGTGAGATAAACTCCTGGCTAAGTTTGAGTGAGGGAGTGAGTGCGGTTTTACGCCGCTTTTAGCAATATTCCAGCAATATGACGGCAGGGGACACTGGAAAATGGGCTCCACACATAGTCCCCATATGGGGAATTGAACTTGGATCTTCGGCGTTACAAGCCGATGCTTTAACCACTAGGCTACCCCACCGCCCCTGCTTAGTTTGAGATAGGGGATTCCCCTTACTCCCCTATTCATTTTATGTTTTTTCTGTCAATCATATGATTACTGTGTACACAACTTATGACACCTTTAACAGAAATAGCAGAAATGGTATATATATAATTTCAGAACTTTTACTTTGACATTTAAATACTTTGTACGAATATTATGAATTTTTCTATCTCTCTCAGAAATTGACTAAATGTATCTTCGAAAATTGATATTGGCAACAAAATCGCAGTCATTTTTTTACTTTACTTGCCCTTTAAGAACGACTACAGAATTGCTTGAATTTTTGTTTGGTGCTAATTTGTATCCTTCGGAATAGTAAGCAATTCTGAACGTTGATATGGGTATACACCTTTTTGGTTTCCCTTTAGAATGGTCAAAATTGTTAAGGTACTGTATGATACTGTATGTAGTGTGTGTGTGTGTTTGTGTGTTTGTTTGTGTGTGTGTGTGTGTGTGTGTGTGTTTGTGTGTGTGTGTGTGTGTGTGTGTGTGTGTTTGAGTGTGAGTGTGTGTGTGTGTGAGTGTGTGTGTGTGTGTGTGTGTGTGTGTGTGAGTGTGTGTGTGTGTGTGTGTGTGTGTGTGAGTTGGGTTTAACATCACTTTGAACAGCATTCCTGTTATATCATGGCATTCCTCAACATTATCATTAAGTGGATTAATGAGTCGAGAGCTCTCATAAAAACTAACATTGATCAGTATTGATCAGGAATGATTCACAACTGTCTCCAATATCCACTGATCTGAAGCCTGAGTCTTGAAAAAGTTTTTTTCTGTCAAGTAGGTAAAAATGGCCTGTACATATTTTGAAAATGATGAAGAGAGAAGAACATGAAATAGGACCAGTGGACATTTTTGGCATGCACTTCTATTGTCTATCTTGTTCAGGTATTACATCTTTGCAAGTGGGATGCAGGTGAAGTTTGTCGGTGATGACCGCTTCATGTTCTGTTACGGGGAGCGAGGGATCAGGCGGAAGGACAAGTCGTCTATTCTGCTCATCCACGGATTCACCGCCTCCAAGGACCAGTGGCTGGCTCTGTTTAAGGTACTGTCAGATATATGCAGGTCTTGAAGTCAGACAAGGACCTGTGGCTGGCTCTGTTTAAGGTACAGTCAGATATATGCAGGTCTTGAAGTCAGACAAGGACCTGTGGCTGGCTCTGTTTAAGGTACAGTCAGATATATGCAGGTCTTGAAGTCAGACAAGGACCTGTGGCTGGCTCTGTTTAAGGTAAAGTCAGATATATGCAGGTCTTGTCTTGAATTCAGACAAGGACCTGTGGCTGGCTCTGTTTAAGGTAAAGTCAGATATATGCAGGTCTTGTCTTGAAGTCAGCCAAGGACCTGTGGCTGGCTCTGTTAAAGGTACTGTCAGATATGTGCAGCTCTTGTCTTGAAGTCAGCCAAGGACCAGTGGCTGGCTCTGTTTAAGGTACAGTCAGATATGTGCAGGTCTTGAAGTCAGACAAGGACCTGTGGCTGGCTCTGTTTAAGGTACAGTCAGATATATGCAGGTCTTGTCTTGAAGTCAGCCAAGGACCAGTGGCTTGCCTGTGTGTAGATCTTGAAGTCAGCCAAGGACCTGTGGCTGGCTCTGTTTAAGGTACAGTCAGATATGTGCAGGTCTTGAACTCAGACAAGGACCTGTGGCTGGCTCTGTTTAAGGTACTGTCAGATATGTGCAGGTCTTGAAGTCAGCCAAGGACCTGTGGCTGGCTCTGTTTAAGGTACAGTCAGATATGTGCAGGTCTTGAAGTCAGCCAAGGACCTGTGGCTGGCTCTGTTTAAGGTACAGTCAGATATGTGCAGGTCTTGAAGTCAGCCAAGGACCTGTGGCTGGCTCTGTTTAAGGTACAGTCAGATATATGCAGGTCTTGTCATGAAGTCAGCCAAGGACCAGTGGCTTGCCTGTGTGTAGATCTTGAAGTCAGCCAAGGACCTGTGGCTGGCTCTGTTTAAGGTACAGTCAGATATGTGCAGGTCTTGAAGTCAGACAAGGACCTGTGGCTGGCTCTGTTTAAGGTACAGGTCAGATATATGCAGCTCTTGTCTTGAAGTCAGCCAAGGACCTGTGGCTGGCTCTGTTTAAGGTACTGTCAGATATATGCAGGTCTTGTCTTGAAGTCAGCCAAGGACCAGTGGCTGGCTCTGTTTAAGGTACAGGTCAGATATATGCAGCTCTTGTCTTGAAGTCAGCCAAGGACCTGTGGCTGGCTCTGTTTAAGGTACTGTCAGATATATGTAGGTCTTGAAGTCAGCCAAGGACCTGTGGCTGGCTCTGTTTAAGGTACTGTCAGATATATGTAGGTCTTGAAGTCAGCCAAGGACCTGTGGCTGGCTCTGTTTAAGGTACTGTCAGATATATGTAGGTCTTGAAGTCAGCCAAGGACCTGTGGCTTTCTCTGTTTAAGGTACAGCCAGATATATGCAGGTCTTGTTTTGAAGTCAGCCAAGGACCAGTGGCTGGCTCTGTTTAAGGTACAGGTCAGATATATGCAGGTATTGTTTTGAAGTCAGCCATGGACCTGTGGCTGGCTCTGTTTAAGGTACTGTCAGATATGTGCAGGTCTTGTCTTGAAGTCAGCCAAGGACCTGTGGCTGGCTCTGTTTAAGGTACTGTCAGATATATGCAGGTCTTGTCTTGAAGTCAGCCAAGGACCTGTGGCTGGCTCTGTTTAAGGTACTGTCAGATATATGCAGGTCTTGTCTTGAAGTCAGCCATGGACCTGTGGCTGTCTCTGTTTAAGGTACTGTCAGATATATGCAGGTCTTGTTTTGAAGTCAGCCAAGGACCAGTGGCTGGCTCTGTTTAAGGTACAGTCAGATATATGCAGGTCTTGTCTTGAAGTCAGCCAAGGACCTGTGGCTGGCTCTGTTTAAGGTACAGGTCAGATATGTGCAGATCTTGAGAATTTGGGGGTAGACAGATATCTAAATCACAGCAATTTATCTGTGGTCTCTCGTCAATCTTATCAATGTTTGCCATCTAAAACATTCTGCACTTTGGGTTTTACTTTCAAAACAAGCTGAGATGTTCTGATATAAATACTGTCCAAAGCAGTGTTAATCCCAACTTACTAAGGTCCAATTTGGGCACAGGAGGCACAGCAGTCTCTTAGTCGTCTGTGAGTTGTGGCAGGATCCAGTGATTCTGGGTTCAAATCCTAGATTCCTCCTGGTTATGATCCTCGGCATGTAAGTTGTGCTTGATGGTTCCACCAAAGTGCTTTCCTTTCAATAACCTGAGATGCCGTGGAATTCTGTGGCGTTAAACTCAACTCACTCACCCACTCTCGTATACAGCTACTTGAAGTGGACCTGCTTCAAAACTTTGAAGTCAGACATCTAGGACAGTGAAAAATGATTGACTGAAGTATCGCTGTACCATGATACTTGGTACTACAGTCAATGCATTTATGAGACCTGTGAAGATCCGGGCCAGAATAGGTCTTCAGCAACCCATGCTTGCCGTAAAAGGCAACTGCTTGTCGTAAGAGGCGACTAACGGGATCGGGTGGTCAGGCTCGCTGACTTGGTTGATACATGTCATCGATCCCAATTGCGTGGATCGATACTCATGATGTCGATCACTGGATTGTCCTGTCCAGACTCGATTATTTACAGACCGCCGTCATATAGCTGGAATATTGCTGAGTGCAGTGTTAAACAAATTAACAAACAAACAATATATTTATGATATATAATATATTAATATATTTCTTCTCCCAATTTGCCTGCCACAGGCACTTAGATTAGAATCCTAGATGATTCCATGATGATATGAGAAAATTAATTGTAAAATATCATTTTCAAGCCACTTTCGTTAGAATTGGTCCCCAGCAACCTATGCTGGTTGTAAGAGGTGAATAAATAGATCAATGACTTGGTTGATATCATGTTCCCTTCCCCTGACAGTTTGAATCGTTGCTCACAATATCAATCACTGGATTATATGGTCCAGATTTGACTATATTCAGACCGCTGTCACATAGCTGGAATATTGCTAAATGCAGCGCGAAACAACAAACACACAAACAGTCATGGCTCCTCTACCGTGTTTTCATTTAACACATGGGGCGGTCGGGTAGCCTAGTGGTAAAAGCGTTCGCTCGTCACGCCGAAGACCCGGGTTCGATTCCCGACATGGGTACAATGTGTGAAGCCCATTTCTGGTGTCCCCCGCCGTGATATTGCTGGAATATTGCTAAAAGCGGCGTAAAACCATACTCACTCACTCACTCACACATACTATTTGTGTGTCTTGTCTTCAGAGTCTCCCCAAAGACCTTCACCTTCTAGCAGTTGACCTACCAGGTCACGGGGATACAACCACCCCGAAGGATGACCAGGACGTGTCGATGTCAGAACTTGTTGGACTCTTGCATCAGGTGGGACAGTCTTATCCAGCAGTCAGAAACCAGAGTGTTGTAAAATCCTGTCTGATCTTGTACACATTGTAAGGGACCCGTGAAGATCCCGGGGTAGAATAGGTCTTCAGCAACCCATGTTTGCCGTAAAAGGTGACTATGCTTGTTTTAAAAGGCAACTAACGGGATTGGGTGGTCAGGCTCGCTGACTTGGTTGAAGCATGTCATCGTATCCCAATCGCGTGGGACCCGTGAAGATTCCGGGGTAGAATAGATCTTCAGCAACCAATGCTTGTCGTAAAAGGCGACTATGCTTGTCGTAAAAGGCGACTAACGGGATCGGGTGGTCAGGCTTGCTGCCTTGGTTGAAGCATGTCATCGATCCCAATTGCGTGGATCGATTCTCATGATATTAATCACTGGATTGTCTGGTCCAGACTTGATTATTTACAGACCGCCGTCATATTGCTGGAATATTGCTGAGTGCGGCGTAAAACAACAAACCAACCAACATATTGTAAGGTCAGCAAATAAGGACTCTCCATATTATGACAGTGAAAATGAAAACATCCACGTATAGACATGGTTAAGATTTGTTGCCAAGGTGACCTTGACCTTGACCTTATTGCTGTTAATAACAGTTATAGAGGGGTGGGGGTGGGGTCAAATGTTGACCTTCGTTTCAAGTTCATGGGAAGCATTTAACTGTTTTTTATCAAGATATTTAAAATGCTGCATTAACACTCTATAGATTTTCGTTAAAAGTTTCTGTAGAAGGTCCACAGACTTTGAATGAATGTGGTGACATTGACCTTGACCTTGACCTTATTGTTGTTTTGTAAGTGAATTATCCTTTGTCCTTTGGGTGTGCCAGAAACATATGCTCAGTTTGAATACTTATTCGATCCGATTATGTTTCAAGGTTTTTAGGACCATACCTGTCCTTGTGGGTTTCTCCAGAGTGTTAAATGTCTGTGACCTGCATCACTTCGGGCTTTCCTCCCACTACTGTTCAAAGCCACATTGAACCAACTCACTCACTCACTCCAAATGTGACCGCCTCCGTTGTCTAGTGGTAGAGCGTCCGCCCGGAGAGCGGGAGGTCCGGGGTTGATCCCCGGCTGCGTCATACCAAAAGACGTTAAAAGATGGTACTTGTTGTTACCCTGTCTGGCGCTCGGCATTAAAGCGCTAAAACAAGGACTGGTCGGCTCGGAGTCAGTAACTGTGTCTGAGTGGGATATTCATGTTAAACTGCGGCATGGTATCTCAGTGGGCTAGCACTATAAATTGGCATCAGTCCGGACTAGTACAAGCAGCCACACACACACACGTGCATGCACGTCGTTATATAAGTGCAATAATCTTGGACGCGACGTTAAACCCAATTTCACCTCACCTCGCTCCAAATGTATACCTTACCACATATACGACAAAATAGATGAATGTGATATTCTGTCTAGACACTCAATATTTATATCCAAAGACTATGGAACAAAATGGAGCTTGTTATTGATACCTGATGATTTATTTGCTCAAGTGTCACCATTCAACAGAGAGCAAAAGTACCTATACCATGTTTACCTGTTTATTTTTAATCAGCCATCCAAATCAGATAATGCTGTCAGCTCCAAATGAAATAGAACCCACAAATCTATCTACATGTAATGTTTATATCTTGATTGAAATCTGACTATGTATCTAGGTGTGTGAGATATGTTTGATATTGTATTTTCAGTTTGTATGTCTATTGGGACTGGATGAGCAGCCGTTCCACATTGTGGGTACATCCCTGGGTGGAGCCATAGGAGGTCTGTACACTGCCAAGTACAGCAGCCATGTGGAGCGCCTCACTATGATCTGCCCTGCCAGTAAGTCCTGTCACTCACTCACTCACTCACTCACTCACCTGCCCCGCTAATAAGTCCTGTCACTCACTCACTCACTTACTCACTCACTCACCTGCTCCGCCCCGCTAATAAGTCCTGTCACTCACTCACTCACTCACTCACTCACTCACTCACTCACTCACTCACCTGCCCCGCTAATAAGTCCTGTCACTCACTCGCTCGCTCACTCACTCACTCACTCACTCACTCACTCACTCACTCACTCACTCACTCACCTGCCCCGCCCCGCTAATAAGTCCTGTCACTCACTCACTCACTCACTCACTCACTCACCTGCCCTGCGTGCTAATAAGTCCTCTCACTCACTCACTCACTCACTCACCTACCCCACCCTGCTTATAACTCACTCACTCACTCTGATGTGCCCCACCCTGCTAATAACTAAGGTACATGTATTTGGCAAGTGTATAAAATTATACACGATAAAAAATCGCTAATTGAAATCACCTGATAAACCGAGCATTATACATGATATTATACGTATCATGCAATGACCGAAACTCAATTTACCGATGTACTGGTAATACCGGCACCCTTAGTAATACTTGACTCGGGCTGCGTCAGTTTCAGATGAAGAGGAAGTAAGAAATGAAGAGATGTGCCAGCACAGGCTTAGTGTTTAGCATTTTAGTAAGAAGTTGATAAAGTTGGTGAATACTTTCAATGTTTCAGTGAAGACGCCAATAGAAAGCGAGTTCTCGTTGTCGATAAAGGCAGCCATTGATCTGGGGCCAGACAACATCGACGTCAGCCATTGTCGTCTGCTGCCCGAGACACCGGAGCAGACGCAGAAGTTGCTGGACACCTGTCTGTATCACAAACAACCAATCAACCGTCAGGTGAGGCGGTGACCCGCATCTTCAGGATGCTTTTAAAACACAATGTATTGTTCTTGTAGGTAAGGTTTTTTTGGTTTGGTTTGTTGTTTAACGCCGCACTCAGCAATATTCCAGATATATGACAGCGGTCTGTATATCATCGAGTCTGGACCAGACAATCCAGTGATTAATATCATGAGCATCAATCAACGCAGTTGGGATCGATGACATGCATCAACCAAGACAGTGAACCTGACCACCTGATCCCATTAGTCGCCTTTTACGACAAGCATAGTCGCCTTTTACGGCAAGCATGGGTTGCTGAAGACCTATTCTACCCTGCGTAGTTAAGGGGGTTGTGCAGTGGCCTGCTGAGTCACGAGTTTGCTGATCCGACAAGTGCCTGAAGTTTAATCCTTTGTTCAGCTATAGCTCCAAAAATCATATCGCGAAAGATTTTTAAGAATTGTTTTCGCAAATATCACAAAGTCAAGGAATCTGAAATATTGATATCAGTTTGGTTCACAACTTCCCGGGGCAAGGGAGTTAACTGACTACAAAAGTCCAGTTTCCACCCTTGCCAAACAAGGCTTGAATTCCTGGGCCTGATCGTAGCGCCACCAGTGGCTATTGACCCTGCTGTGCCTCTCCTATGGACCAATCAGATTCCACCTCTCGTATCACTTACATTTGTTTCAAACAAAATGGCGGCACCCATTCAGGACGATCTGATCGATAATCAAGATCTATATTGTGATAAAACAAGTCTTATATCGGTAAGTGCATCAAATTATGTGAACACCTTGATTAAAAACATGAAAAGTTTAGGAAAATATCTGTTGATGACGGGTTGGTGGTGCACATGCTTTGCAAATCCTGTGATTGACTAAAAACTGCGCGACAGCTTACGAACCAGATTTCGATTTCGTTGCTCGATTTTGATTGGACTATGCATAGACTCGTTAGTCCAGCCAAAATGTAACTCCATAATGCCAACCTAGTTCGGCAAGGATGGAAACTGGACTTTTATAGTCAGTTAACTCACTTGCCTCGGGAAGATGATTGGTTCATGACACGGTATAACAAACACGTAACACTGGTAGATATTAATTCAAACTTTGCAGGTCTTCAAGCAGTTTCTTCTTAGAAACCACAAGACCAATAAAACTTTACCTAAAGGAGGATGTTATATATTAATGATAGGGGCATGAATACAATCAGATACACGGTGAAGATCCGCATTAGAATAGGTCTTCAGCATCCCATGCTTGCTGTAAGAGGCGACTATGCTTGTCGTAGTAGGCTTCTAACTGGATTGGGTGGTCGCTGAATTGATTGATGCATGTCATCGTATCCCAATTGTGTGCATCAATGTTCATGATGTCAATCACTGGATTGTCTAGTCCAGACTAGATTATTTCCAGACTGCCGTCATATAGCTGTAATAGTGCGGCGTAAAACAACAAACAAACAAACAAACATGAGTATGGTGATAATTAACAAACAAGCTAAATCAAACCTACTTTACACATTTACCGGCTGTACATAATTGTCTCACCTTATCATATCATAGTTGTCTGATTAAGAAATGTGAATTTCGCGATTATTGATTTGGTAGCTCTGTATCATATTTGTAATATATCAAAACAAGACTAGTCATTATCGGAATATATATTTGATATTTGTTGTTTTATGTTTCAGATTCTGAAAGGAATTATAGCTTTAAGGGAAGACAAAAATATTTTTTTTCTCCGCTGTGAGTACTTTGTTTTGTGTGCAAAACTAGGAGTGTCCTGGTGTCCTTGAGGTTTTCTCCATCATACCAAAAGACGTTAAAAGATGGTACTTGTTGTTACCCTGTCTGGCGTTCGTCATTAAGGGGCTAAAACTAGGACTTGTCGGCTCGGAGTCGGTATACTGTGTCTGAGTGGGGTATTCATGTTAAACTGTGGCATGGTATCTCAGTGAGCTACCACTATAAATCGGCATCAGTCTGGACTAGTATAAGCAGCCACACAAACACACATACGTACATGCACGTCGCTATATAAGTGCAATAATCTTGGACGCGACGTTATGCCCAATTTCCCCTCACCTCACCTTGAAGTTTTCTCCACTAGAATCTAGGGACCCCTGTCTGTAATGTTTTCATTAGGGTTAGAACAAGGACACCTTGACTTTCATACGTGATTGGTTGCGTGTCATTCTGTCGGATTAACGAGTACGTCGGATTAACGAAATGAAGTAGTATCGGCATTTGTGATCACAGATTGGACAACTACACAATAGATAATGATACAAACACGTGGTTATGAAAAAAATGAAAAATGAAATATTCATATTGTTACAATTTTTGCGGAATATGTTTTCTAACCGTGCGAACTCAAAAGCTTAACATAAAACTACAGTTACGGGCTGAATGACTGATTCAAAATACTTAAAAAGAATGGTCTGTTTGAAACTAGTGCTGCGGAGCTCAAGAAAGCTGCTTTCTGATTGGCTTATGTCGACTTCCTGTTAGTTATTTCATTGGTCGGGCAAAAGTTCCCGAAAGGTCGTTCTGACATGACCTGTAATGGGATTTCCTCAGCGGTAGCAAGAACTTGTATCTGATTTCAATAAGATTGAGGTAATTTAAACAAGTGAATAATATTGTTCTGTTTATTAAAAGCTTAATTGTATATTGTTTAGCAAGTTTATCTCTACAGCTCGTCTCACATCAAAACATTGAACTGTGTACTCTCGGGCAGATGACTACGGAGTACACTAATCACTGTGTTGGATTAAAATTGAGTAATGAGTGATTTTGTAAACCGTTGCAAATTAGGCGTGTCTGAATCAGAATGTGAGACTTTCGAATTACCGGGTCTAAATAGCACCGATTTAATCGGTTCCGTTAATTAGTGTCGGATAAAGCCAATTGTCGGATTAACAAATGTCGTATTAACGAGACTTGACTGGACTTACTCTTGGACACTGTTAAATTTTTTGGAGAGAGAAAAGGAAAAAAAAAGAGACTTCACTGAAGGCAAGCTATTGTGCAGATGACGTAATGTAATCAATTTGTAATCAACAACAATAGATGACATTATGTCATATTTTTCTCAACAATGAAGCACTGTGACGTCATATGGTTTCAACCAACCAATCAGCATTGAGAATTGCTAAATTACAAATATCAGAAAGTTATTACACACAATCTTTCTACCCTTATGGGTAATATTTACATATTTCCCTCAATTTCTTTTTGTGTTGTCAGTGTTTAAAAGTCTGGCGAGGCAGGAGAACGTGACTGTGCTGGTGGAGAAAGCCCAGGACATCACCCGCCCGACGCAGCTCGTGTGGGGGGAGCATGACGAGGTGGGCAACCCCTCCCCTTCAAGTCAGGGACCTAGATTCACAAATATGTGGCTAGAGGACCCCTATTCCTAATACACTAAACAATTAAGGTCATAAGCTGTTTTTAGAAGCCCGGGCAATCTGAATCACGGCATGAAATGTTTCATAAAAATTTTCATGAGATCTTCAATAACATTCTTGGTGCACATGCATTTTACCGGACACCTATCTGGCATTAAAGATTACATTTGAAAAACTTAGAAACCATTTCTATATGACGGCGGTCTGTAAATAATCAAGTCTGGACCAGACAATCCAGTGATTAATATCATGAGCATCGACCCACGCAATTGGGATTGATGACATGCATCAACCAAGTCAGCAAGCCTGACCACCCGATCCCATTAGTCGCCTTTTACGACAAGCAGAGTCACCTTTTACGGCAAGCATGGGTTGCTGAAGACCTATTCTACCCCGGAATCTTCACGGGTGTCCGTCTCCTGTGAAGGCATTTGGTTGATGTATGGTGTAGAGGTGATGTGTGCCTATATTTAGTCAACCAATCAAATTAGGTTGTGTAACTCACGGAAGTGAAATGCTTGATTTTTGTGTGAACCCTACCATTGTTTTTTGTTTGTTGTTTAACGCCGCACTCAGCATTATTCCAGCTATATGACGGCGGTCTGTAAATAATCGAGTCTGGATCAGACAATTCAGTGATTGACATCATGAGCATCGACCCACGCAATTGGGATACGATGACATGCATCAACCAAGTCAGAGACCTGACCACGTGAACCCGTAGTCGCCTCTTACGACAAGCATAGTCGCCTCTCATGGCGAGCATAGTCGCCTCTCATGGCGAGCATAGTCGCCTCTCATGGCGAGCAGGAGTTGCTGGAGACATGTGATACATGTTACACACGACATCAAGCAAGAAGCATTTCTGTTTGAGCAATGTAAACTGAGCTGCCATTGGTCTGAATACTCGCGGGTTTCCCTGTTCCTGGAACCAGGCTGTCGATTGGTTCATTGGTTAAAAATAGCAACTCCACCGTAAACTGTTTGGTTCTTTGGTTAAAAATAGCCACTCCACCGTAAACCGTTTGGTTCTTTGGTTAAAAATAGCCACTCCACCGTAAACCGTTTGGTTCTTTGGTTAAAAATAGCCACTCCACCGTAAACCGTTTTGTTCTTTGGTTAAAAATAGCCACTCCACCGTAAACCGTTTGTATCATTGGTGATGGAAGAACGTAGTGAAAACAAACCTGTGATGTATTAACGATTGCTATACAAATAAATACTGGTAAATATTGCAACATTATTCAATTTGTTAATCGCCTTTAATTATCACCCCCAGTTGATTGACAAGAGTGGCGCCGAACTTTTGAAGGAAGTTTTGCCGAACTGTGAGCGTGTTGACATGATAGAGCGGTGTGGACACTCTGTGAATATGGACAGACCGGGAGCTGTTATGAAGACCATCCTGGTATTCCGCGGAGAATACGACCGAAAAAACATTTGAGGGCCAGAAGACTGAAAGGAAGCGCCTCCTGATGAGAAAAAGGAGGGCGTTTCATTGACTGAATGAATGTAGATAGATTTATGTTTATACAAGTTTACATAACCAATGAATCTAGAAGTCTCGGTTTGACCGACCAAGATATATATACTGTTGGTATTACTGTTTGTAGTTTACTGTTAAAGGGAGACTCCACTCAACGGCCTGATGTCCGTTTCAGATGTAGAGTTGTATCAGTGAGCGATTATGACAGTTAACTGCTAGCTTGATCTAAAATATATACTGCTCAACTTTTGATAGGGGTAATCCGATATCTTGTTTTATTTAAATATACACACTTGACATAAGAGAAAAGTTTTGTGTAACAATGCAAGATAATAATATCCCTATCAAACTTGGGTAGTATATATCATTAAATTTGAATTCGTAGTTAGCAACGTTTCTTTGTAATTATTTTACGAACCTGAGTCAAAGGCTGATGAAAAGTCAGTAACACCTTTGCCTTGGGAAGATGCTTGCCTAGGTGCTACCACAGTAACTGACTCGGTTGAGTTCACAATCCAGAGTGCCTCGATATATTTCTGGCAATTCTTTATTTAGTTAGTAATCTAGATATACTAAAACTTCATTTGACAGATCCCATAAAACATTCAATATTTACCCAAAAACTTGGAAGTCAACTGTCAACTGAGAATACTTATTATGTTTACATACAGTCTTCTGGTCAATATTGGGGGCGGTCGGGTAGCCTAGTGGTTAAAGCGTTCGCTTGTCATGCCGAAGACCCGGGTTCGATTCCCGACATGGGTACAATGTGTGAAGCCCATTTCTGGTGACCCCCGCCGTGATATTGCTGGAATATTGCTAAAACCAAACTCACTCACTCTGGTCAATATTGACAACATTTAGTCTCAAATGAAAATATTTCAAAACTTTTTTATTTTATTTTTTTGTCTTTTGAGATATGAAAGAGCCTGGGGAATCTCTTCAGTTTCAACTGAAGAAATCTAGACTTGCCAAAGTATTGTAGGCTTCCTTCAATGTTTTCCGATATGTTTGCTTGAGTGTCTAAATGGTGCTATTACTAGTGGAGTCATCCAGATTTCGGCTACAAGTCATGGATGTAATGGCCGTTGTATGCATGTAAATGTTCATAGCAGTCATCCCGATTATGTTGTCTGGATAAACAGGGTGCAGACTAACAAGGTTTTATTGTTGAAGTAAACTGTGGATCATTAGCGAAACACTACCCAGATTATACAGTTAGAAGCAGTCTTGAGTCAACAGATTTTGTGTAGGGGCACGGGCGGCCCAGTCGTTTAAGGCGCTACGATTTGCCTTGCAGAGTTGCGTCCCTTGGGAGCACCAGAAACCTATGATTGTGGGTTCGAATTCCAGTTCTCCCCGATTATGTTTCTGGGTTTGTCAGCACCATACCCGTGCTCGTGGGTTTCACCGATGTGGTAAACATCTGAGACCTGCATGACTTCGGGCTTTCCTCCCACATTAAGCTGACACGCCGTGATATAACTGGAATACTATTAAAAGCGGCGTTAAACCAAACTCACTCACTCACAGATTTAGTGTACAAATACTCACCTTGGTTTCAACAGGAGTACATTTGGTTAACCTTAGAACTGTAGGCCAGTACAGTACATGTACAGTATTTGTATTTTATATTTGTCAATGAACTCTCCATGCCAGCACTGTTAATTTTTATTTTGAAAAGTTACCTTGTTGATACCAATGTCCCAGAAAATGTGTTTGTTGCATTCTTGCAGTTTCTTTCAGGCATTGATGTTGATATGCTTGCTTCATCCACTGTTGTCATGATGGCGGTGATGGAGCTTGCTGTTGCGGCCACACATGAACAGACCAGAATCCTATCAATCTCATCAAAATCAGATCTTAGTTCTCGCAACCGCTAAACAAAGATCTGAGGACATCCAATTACGGGTCACGTCATACAGACCTTGCGCGAACTTTTACCGACCAATGGATTGACCAATCAGAAGGCAGCCTTCTCGTGCTTTATGGCACTATTTTCAAATTGGCGACAACGCTTTGAAACATATTTTGACAAATTCTTGATTCAAAATTTGAAACCTGAACAAAAGAACATTCTGGAATGGCTAATATATGGTCTAGATTGTATGGATTCAGTCGTTCGGAATACCTCATGTTAAAGTTTTCGAGGATGCGTGATTAGAATCACATTCCGACTGTCACTTTCATGATCTAATAAGCGAGGCTCTGATTGGTCAGATGAAAGCTAGGTCGTGACCTCTACTGGGATGTCCTCAGATCTTTGTTTAGCGGTAGCGAGAACTGAGGTCTGATTTTAATGAGACTGGAATCTTATGAGAGTGTTTTTTGTTTGTTTGCACTATACCATGTTTGTGGGTTTCACCGAAGTGGTAAATATCTAAGATCTGTAATATTAGAGTACTCTCCCATGTTCTACTGATATACTGTGATGTAATCGAGATACCGTTCAAAGCGATGTGAACCCAACTATCACTCCTGAAGGGTGTCATCAGGCAAGTTAGAAGTTGTTTGGCCTTACTGTACATTGTAAAGCAGATGCTGTGTTGGACCGTGCTCGTGGGTTTCACCGAAGTGGTAAACGTCTGAGACCTGCATCACTTCGGGCTTTCCTCCCACACTAAGCTGACATCCCGCGATATAACTGGAATACTGTTAAAAGCGGCGTTAACCCTAACTCACTCACTCGCTGTGTTGGAATCCATTCAGTAAATACCGTATTCGACGTTATAAGCGTCCCGCTCTAATAAGCGCCCACGGCGATATTTGCTAATATATTTGCTAGTGAACAATCCCAATCAGCACCCCTTCCGATTGATCAATGCACACAAGACTTATTTATTCGTGTATAATACGCACTCGTGTGTTATATCACCCTTAATTATGGGCAATTAAATTCTTGTAAAATATATCTGTATATGTAAACATTTCAGGCTGTTAGCATAAACCATGAAATTTATGATCTTTCAACTCAAAATAATATTCTAATAAGAGCCCCCTATTTCTAATTTTGAGAGCGCCCTGGACGCTTATTATGTTGAATATGGTATATTTATGTTTATATTATATCTGGTTTTGAGACACCTTTGAGATAACAATAACTGATGTTCCTATAAAATATTGTATGTGACATTTAGGCCTTGTTTTGCAATATTAATCAATTGTGGGTCTACTGATTGATATAGTTCTAAGTAGATTATCATTTCATTTGTTAACGTTGTTGTGATGGTTATATATGATGTGTTTACATGACAACAAGGCTGTTTTATCTTTATCATTTGCAAATTTTGGACTTAAAACACATTAAGTATAGAAGCATTGTCCAAGACAATTAACAGTAAAACCCCAGGTAAATTAATTTCTTTAAGTTTACCAGGAGAGCATATCTGTGACCCATGATGATTTTTTTATTTTATCTGTTTATTTCAATGTCACCTAAGAAAATCAGCTTTTGTAAAAAACCTACCCTTTTTTCTTGAGTATAGCGCGCACCCAAGTATTATGCGCACCCCCCTCTAGCAGATTCAGTATTTTTGAAAATTTGATTTTTTAAATATTATACGCCGAAAATGATTACACCGTACCCCTTCAGCGAATTCCAATAACGAACAGTTGATAAGAAACTTGGTCAGTACAAATTTGAAATTTGAGATAAAAAATCACCGGTCATCATGTTAAATAGTTATAGAAATGGTGCTAAAAAATGAAAATGTCCTTTTGGACGTTTTTCATTAATTGTTGAAAGGAAAATATTAGTAATGTTTAGTTTAGAGGACCATCCTTTCGTGTTTTATTAGATATGAAGGTCTTGCCATGTTATCAGTCATCTTTTGTTTGCTTGTAGCTGATTGAAAATACGGGACCAATTGCCTATTGTGCTGCAGACAGAGCTTTGTTGATGCTATATTTAAGCTGGGTCAAATTGTTGCGGGATCACTTGTTGGGGACACTTTATAGTTTTATTATATAAAGTTTTATTTTTATTATACACACCCAGAATTGGAATGCTTTAAGGTTTAGTCTTTTTTTCACGGCAGCTGTATTCGTTTGATTTTGTTGAGGGCTGCAGCCATTAAGTTGTAGACGCAAAATATGTTGCATATGTGTAGAGTTGGTAATGTATTATTAAGTAGTAAGAGATGACTAATGGGATCGGGTGGCCAGACGCAGTGATGCATGTCATCGTATCCCAATTGTGTAGATCGATGCTCATAATGTCAATCACTTGATTGTCTGGTCAAGGCTCGGCGATATACAGACCGCCATCATATAGCTGGAATATTGCTGAGTGCGGTGTAAAACAACAAATTATTAATTTGTATAGGATCACAAGTTTGTTAGAGTGTAACTGGTGATCAGGTTTTGGCATGTTGTAAAGATGCTGCTGTAATGGTAATAGTATGTCTTCCACAACAGGGGGCAGTTGGGTAGCCTAGTGGTTAAAGCGTTCGCTCGCCACGCTGAAGACCTGGGTTCGATTCCCAACATGGGTACAATGTGTGAAGCCCATTTCTGGTGTCCCCCGACGTGATATTGCTGGAACATTACTAAAAGCGGCGTAAAACCATACTCCTTCACTCACTCTTCCACAACAGTCTGTAACGTTAACCTCTGTTTCAAGCCCAAGTCCTAAGGAGTATCATGGCAGTGATTTTCATGTGTAGTCAGTTCATAGGTCAACATGGTTCTTTGTTTCAGAAAAGACATCAATAGAAACATGTTTCTGTGATAAAGTCTGGAGAGAGACTAATGGCTTCCATTTTCACAGATTTAAAAATTTGCATGTATTGATTGTCCAGTTGTTTAGCAGGGTAAGAGTATAGTTTTCAGTTCACCTAGACAAAAGTCAAGGTACGTTTTCCAATATGTCCCATCCATCCATCCATCCATCCTTCCATCCATCCATCCATCCATCTGTCCGTTCAGTTTTGGATTCTCTGAATGTCTAAATGTCTGAAAATGAGTGAAATTATGTCCCAGTATGCATGTATGAGGTGATTAAGATTTTTGTGGCTTTATAATAAATAAAATATGATTCGGGCATTGGCACTTATAATTCACTGTTATTGAGTATGTTGCCTTAGTAACACTTTCTACTTCTCAGAAAGTTACAAAATATTGTAAAATGTTACCCAAGCATTTATACCACTTTGAGGCAATGCCACATTTGGAAGACCATCGGCAGCCTTTTGCAGCTATTTGATAATTCCATCTAAAGTCAGAATTCCATCTTTTCGGCCTTATTTGATTATATTTTGATGTTGAACATGTTTTTTTGTGTGTTTCAATTATGCCATGCTGTATGTTACCTGGCCCTACATTACACACAATGTCACTGGTTTTTTACTTTACGTGTTAAACTTCACAATGTCTTCTTGAATTTACATAAATTAAAATATGATTAATAGAGAAACTAAATAGGCTTTCGACCACTAAATTTATCCAGTTTTCATCCACATCGATGTTTAGAAGATCCCTTGATGGCCAGTATTACATGTGTGATACGGAATGTTACAGTAGTACCACATATAGAAGTATACACAATATTTACAATGTATTTACAATAATCAGGGCATATATCATATTTTTATATATACTGGACAGAAATGGCACATTATCAGTAATAACACCTTTATTAAGTCATCAACCAATGATTTTCTTTGTATGCTGTATATTTGTCCACACTTCCAGTTGATGGTTACTGAGGGTGTTGCTGCTAGGATGGCTCAGATAGTTCTGATTAGTAATTCTGTACTAAGACTCTTGTCCATATGTCTTAGTAATTGCCTAGCTACTAAGATGTGTTCCTTGTTCTCTTGGGGCGGTCGGGTAGCCTAGTGGTTTAAGCGTTTGCTCGTCATGCCGAAGACCCGGGTTCAATTCCTGACATGGGTACAATGTGTGAAGCCCATATCTGGTGTCCCCCGCCGTGATATTGCTGGAATGTTGCTAAAAGCAGCGTAAAATCATACTCACTCACTAACTCACTCCTTGTTCTCTTAGTAATTGTCTAGCGACTAAGATGTGTTCATTGCTGTCTTAGTAATTGCCTAGCGACTAAGATGTGTTCATTGTTGTCTTAGTAATTGTCTAGCTACTAAGATGTGTTCATTGCTGTCTTAGTAATTGCCTAGCTACTAAGATGTATTCATTACTGTCTTAGTAATTGCCTAGCTAAGATGTGTTCATTGTTGTCTTAGTAATTGCCTAGCTACTAAGATGTGTGCATTGCTCTCTTTGTAATTGTTTGGTTACTTAGATATGTTCCTTGCTTGCTTAGTAATTGTATATCCGGGGTAGAATAGGTCTTCAGCAACCCATGCTTGCCCTAAAAGGCGACTATGCTTGTTGTAAGAGGTGACTAACGGGATCGGGTGGTCAGGCTCGCT